AGTCACGCTGACCTCGCCAAACGGGGATGTCCTCAAATACGTCGTGCGTCTCGACATCCGAGCCACGAACAACATGGCAGAATATGAAGGGCTCCTTGCAGGATTGAGGGCGGCGGCCGAAATGGGCATCCGCCGTCTCCTAGTCTTAGGTGACTCCCAGCTGGTCGTAAATCAAGTATCCAAAGAATATCAATGCACCGACCCGCAGATGGAAGCATACGTCCGAGAGGTACGGCGCATGGAATGACACTTCGACGGACTTGAGCTCCAGCACGTGCCCCGACGCGACAACACAGTTGCTGACGAGTTGTCGCGTGTTGCGTCGGCACGAGCCCCACTCCCCCCGGGAACTTTCGAAGAAAGGCTCGCGCAACCATCGGCGCGACCGAGCCCTTTGAGGGACCCCAACGATGCGCCCTACGACCCAATCTCTGGCGACCCGCGCCCCTCGAGGCCCGAGGGGGTCAACCCCGACCCCCCTCGTCAGGTCGTGTGGATGACCGGCATCCGGGCATATCTCGACGGCAATACTCTTCCCGAGGACCGCGCGGAGGCTGAAAAGCTCGCGTGCATCTCCAAGCAGTACGTCCTCGTAGAGGGGGCCCTCTACCGGCGTGCCGCCAACGGGATACTCTTGAAGTGCATTCCTCGAGAGCAGGGCATCGAGCTCATAACCGACGCCCATCAGGGTGAATGCGGAGCCCATTCGGCCTCACGAACTTTGGTCGGAAAAGCCTTCTGGCAAGGTTTTTATTGGCCAACTGCATTACAAGATGCCCAGGAATGGGTCCAGCGGTGCGAGGCATGCCAGTTCCATGCTAAGCAGACCCACCAGCCGGCCCAAGCCTTACAGGTCATTCCACTATCTTGGCCTTTCACAGTCTGGGGGCTAGACATCCTTGGACCGTTCAAAGCGGCTCGAGGCGGGTATCAGCATTTGTACGTCGCCATCGACAAATTCACTGAGTGGCCCGAAGCCTACCCAGTCGTCAAAATCGACAAGCATTCTGCTCTTAAGTTCATCAGGGGCATCACGTCTCGATTCGGAGTGCCCAACCGTATCATTACAGACAACGGCAACCAGTTCACCAATGAGCTGTTTGGCGGTTACTATGACGACATGGGTATCAAACTGTGCTTTGCCTCACCCGCCCACCCCAAGAGCAACGGCCAAGTCGAGCGAGCCAACGCCGAAATCCTCAAAGGACTCAAGACCAAGACGTACAACGTCCTGAAGAAGCACGGGGATTCATGGCTTGAGGAGTTGCCCGCCGTGTTGTGGGCAAATCGGACCACTCCAAGCCGTGCCACAGGGGAAACACCATTTTTCTTGGTGTACGGCGCCGAAGCGGTCCTACCCTTCGAGCTTTCCCTGGGTTCGCCTCGTGTCGCTCTGTACAACGAGGCCAACCAGGATGACCTCCACCGCGACGATCTCGATTATCTTGAAGAACGGAGAAGGCGACGCTACCATCAGCGCCACGTCCGGGCCCGATTACTACAAGTTGGCGATCTCATCCTACGCCGCGTTCAGTCGCGCCTAGGGCTGAGCAAGCTCTTGCCAATGTGGGAAGGACCATACAAAGTGATCGGAGTGCCCCGGCCAGGCTCCGTTCGGTTAACCACGGAGGACGGCACAGAGCTGCCCAACCCCTGGAATATCGAGCACCTCCGTCGTTTCTATCCATAAAATCGAGATTTTTTGCTTTCCTGGAGCTCAGGCCAGCACCCGCACAACCCCTCGGTTTGTGCGGGACTGGCCGGGGGCTACCACTATGTATCCTTTTTCCTTTCACAAGCAATGAGTTTTTTCTACTTCTTCGCGGAGGCCGTTTTTTCTCCCCTTCCTCTGGCTTGTCCCGACTCAAGGAATAATCTGCGTTTATTCTAAAAACCCTAAGTGCTGTAAAGTGGCATGAAAACCGCCGAAAGGGAGCACGAACGTGGGCCGCGCCCCGGGTTGTGCCGGACCCCGGGGGATCGGAAGGGCCTACACACGGTCGTCCCCGACCCCCGGTCGTCGCAGCCTCGGTCTGGCCAGTCCCGCTGGGCGGCTCCCTCGGGGCGATGGTCTTGCCCATCACCACTTAGGTTCCGTGGACCGAACGCGGGTTTACCTTCTCGCTAGAACAAGCCCGAGGGGGGGGGAATGGGGCCAAAACGGTATATCAATCGCAGGCTGTCTAATTATCCATTTCTGCCTTGGTTTTTTCTTCTCCGTGTCACAGGCATCCGATAGAAAAAGCGAATGAGTTAAAGAGTTTTCAGTTGCAGAACAAGACAGGATGGCACGATGGCCTAAATACAAAAAGTGCCTGCTACGGGCACACAGCAAAAGGGGATAAAAAGCGCGAGCGGTCACGGAGTGCCCGGCCCCCCGAGACCGGTGCCACTAACGATGTCGTCCCAATCGTTGTCGTCGTCGTCGCCCCCCCCTTCCGCTCTCCTCGTCTGAGATAAGCCCGGAGGTGAACCGGGGGGCCGACCCCTCGAAGCTCGAGACGATCGCGTCAGCCGCCTCCCGGACTTACTCCCGGGCCCTTGCTTCGGTCCCTGGGGGAAAGTCTTCAAGCGCACGCCACGGCTCGAAGTCGGGGTCGCGCGCTTGGTGGCTCGCAAGGACCAGCTCCACCGCAGCCCGTGCCAAAGAAGCCGACGAAGACTTTATGGTTTCGCCGACCTCCTCCTCCAGCCTCTCCAGGCTCGCCGCTAGCCCGTCCAGCAGAAGCGCGAGTGCCGGCTATGTGGGCGGAAGCTTGCTATCCCGGCGCGCGGAGATGCCGACTCGACGCCCCGCGCGCTCCAGCCGGTTGACTGCGTCGGAGAGCTGCCTGGGCCCGAGCTCGTTGGTGAGGCGGAGGGCCGCAATCTCCCCAGCCTGATCCTGCACCAGGCGCTCCAGGTCGGCGAGGGTACTCCGAACTGTGGCAAGCTGGCTCGCCAACTCCGCGTCATGTCCGGCCCGCTCGCTGTCAAGTCCTTCTCCCGGGCCTCCAGCTCAGAGGCCTTCGCCGCTATCGCCGCGCGCTCAGCGCGGGCGCTCTCCAGATGGCGAGCCTCGCACCCGGCGACGGCCTCCTCGCGACTCGCGAGTTGCTCGCTCAGCCAGAACGAGGCTACATCGCGGTGGCTCACCTCGGCTTCGCGCTCGGCAAGTGCAGCGTCCTGTTCCCGGCATGCCTCTTCCCGCAGCCGTAGCTCTTCCGCGCGGCGATCCGCGGAAGCTTTCGCGGCAAGGGTGATCCGGTCACGCTCGGCCGCGGCCTCTTCACGGAGGCGAAGGGAAGCCTCCACCTTCGCCGCCGTTCTCTCGTGAGCGGCCAAGGTGGACTCCCGCTGATCTAGCAGGCGCGCTCGCTCCTCCAGCTCCTGGGCCCGCCCCGTCTGTTCTTCGCCGCACGTTTTTTGCTCGCGCTGGTTTCGATCGAGGACTTCGATCCACCGACGGATTGTGGCTTCAAGCTCCTGTGCGGAGCGAGCACGGTCATCCAAGGCCTTGCGCTCAGCCCCGAGCGCCGTCGTTCGAGCCTGCAGAGAGGCCTCAGCCTCCGATGCCCGCCGCTCGTGGGCAGCGGCTGCGTCAAGGACGCCGCAAGCGTCCCTAATCCTCTTCGCCAAGTCCTCGGCGTGAGCCTCATATTGGAGGCGGATGTCGCCCAGCGCCTCGTTCAGGACGCTCGAGGCGATCAGCGCCGCCTGCCGCTCCTCCTCCGTCTCCCGCATGATGGAGTCCAGTACCTCCTCGCGCGCCTGGATCTTGGCTAGTTGGGCTTGGCGCATTTTGCGCCCCACCTTCACCATGTCGTCCACAGCGCGATGCCCCTCCTCGACCCACACGTGGTCCGCGGCGAGCTAGGCTCACTTTGCATCCAGGGTCGTCCGCTCTTCCGCCAGGGCTTGAACTTGGGTGTTCAGCCCCTCTCGTACAGTGGAGTCAGCGGCGGCGAGCACCTGCAGAAGTGGCTCCATGCTCGCCGGAGTCGGGGAGGAAAAGGCCGCGGTCCGCCCCCGGGACGACGGGGTACTGCTGGATCCTCCGCGAGACTCGGGGCTGCTCTCGGCCCCCCTTTTGTGAGACCAGCCTCGAGGGCGCCCCAAGCGCCAGGGGGAATGGCTGTCCCTCTCACCCCCCGCTTCGGGTCCTCGGGTAGATTCAGCCTCAGCCTCGACCTCGGGCTCGGGACCGGCCTCGGCCTCGACCTCGGGCTCGAGACCGACCTCGGGCTCGGGACCGACTTCGGCCTCGGCCTCGAGCTCGGGCTCGGGACCGCCCTCGGCCTCGGCCCCAACCTCGGGCTCGAGGCCACCTCCGGCTCCGGCTCTCGAGCCGCGTCTTCCTTCACCCCCTGATCCTGGGTAGTGCTCCGCGTGGGCCCTGGTCCCAGAGCCGCCCTCGGGAGGAGCGTCACCGCTCCTCACGCCGGCGGTAGGTCGGGTTCCGCCTGAGGGTCGCTTGAGATTGGGCCTAGTGTGTGACTTCTGGGCCCCACCGCGAGGCTGCGAAGACCCCGTGGCCTTAGACTGGCCGGACCCAGATTGCCCATGCGAGGGGTCAGACCCTGAGATTCCCTGAGAAGGAATCTCTCTACAAGAGAACCCAGATCATGTTAACAAAAGAAAATGAAGGGACAAGAGAACGGGTAGAGTAAGAGCACCGAAGTGAGCGCCAACAATCATACCTACGGGGAGGGCGGTTGAAGGTCCACTTCGGGGGCTCGATGAAGCTTCCCCGACATGGCTCCGTTTGCCCTATCTTTCGGAGCCGCTTCTTTTTCCGCCCAGCCTCGGGCTCGGCTGGTCGCTTGTGGCCCGCTGGCGAATGATCTGTTGCGCACTCGGCACCCCCTCCACGCGGGGGAGAGGGAGGTCGGGAATACCCTCTTCTGGATGCCACACTTTTTATTTCTGGGTTGCCGAGAACTGTGCATTTGCAGGTATTCCTCCCTGTCAAAAAAGGTAGCGACTCTAGTACGAAAACCAGTACGACCAAAACAGCAAAATGAGAGAGAGAGAGAGAGAGCAGGAAACCATTAAAAAAAAAGGTCACAAACAGGTTCACCACAGCAACATGCTAGCCAAACAATCAGTTTTCCAAACCGACATAGCAGTTCACAAACAACCCAGCAGCCAGCCAAGCAATCCTTCTTCTTCAGGCTGCCTCATCACCTTTTTTTAGGTCCTTTTGTTTTTCTTGATCAATTCAGAAATTTCATTAGGGACAGTTCCAGTATTATTCTTGTGGTTCAATAAGTACGGCAAAAGCCCTAACTTCACATCTTTAATGAATTCATCCTTCACCTGCAAGTCATAAAAAAAAGAGAGAAATGATGTTAGTTCTTTCAGAACTCCATAACAAAATTATAAGGTTAGTTCTTTCAACATACCTCATCATTCTTCTCTAAAAACCGGTTGAAATGTATTTCTCCAGAAGTCCCGAAATTCTCGATGAAATACATTGATGCAAACGCACTATCATTGACCTTTATGTTGGTACCAGTATATGCCACTTTGCGGTCAGGAAATTTTACTTGGTTGTATCCGCATCTTTTTAAAGCTGAGTTTGCTTTGGCTCCCAGATCAATACAAAATGGTTTCACGCTGGCCAAGGTATCTTTGTGGCAAAAAACATGGACCTGGTTTGAGCTTGAAAACACACAACATGCAACAATCCATTCTCCTTGGAAGAGAACAGGGCAGTAAATCTGTAAAAACAAACAATTGTGTAACTTGGTTTTGGGGAATTAACAATTCCAAAAAAAACAGTATTGATGCACAACTTACAGTTGTTTCCTTTAACGTGGTGGTCCTGCTACCTGATCTCAGAACCGGGAGTGCATCCACAATCATTTTCTCCAAATCTTGGCCATCCTGCACATAGGGGGGAACATAAGTTATCTGAACCAGGTACACTGCCTTAACCAGGACTGCCTGGCCTTAACCAGACACAATGACAACCACAACTGTATGGACTTAACCTGGACCTGGACTGTATAACCTTAACCAAACTGTATAGACTTGATTACTAACTTTGAGGCACCTAAAGGATTTTTATTTCAGAAATTGTGGCGCCTCTTATTTATCCAACAATTGAATCTGATTGATAAATTGATGATATATGCCAGGGAGAGTTCATGAAAGTTTGGGATGTACTGCAATAGTGGCACCACAGCAGCCTAATGCCCCTGCTCCCCAACAGTGCATATCTCTTCAGTAGATAGTGAAGTATTTGTATGAAGTGTCACAGATCTGGCCTGGACTTGATTACTAACCTGGACTGTATAACCTTAACCAAACTGTGTGGCCTGGACTTGATTACTAACCTGGTTCACTGATTTAACCAAGTGTGCCTCAACCAGGACTGTATGGCCTTAACCAGTACTGTCTAGGCTTAACCGGACCTAATGCCTTAACCATTCTTAAGTACAATTGTAGTACAATTGTTAAAAAAAACATGGGGAAACCTTTTACCTTCTCTACTGGTGAGAGAAAGATTCTTTTACGTTGGTTGTACGGATATTTATCCAGGACTTTCATTAATAATATAATAAGATCCCTGGCATCCGCACCTCCTTGGAGGGACTGTTCTAATCGAGAACCAGTCATCGAGATCTCTTCAAACTCCAATATAACCTGCTCCTTACTTTTCAAATTGAAAACATAACACATATCAGTATAGCAAGTTCTACTCTAAAAGAATATAATCATAAGGCTTCCAGAAACATACCAACCAATGGCCAGCTGATGAACCAGTTCAAGTATTTCGCCCTTAAGCAACTGGCGGGTTGGTTTATAATGGCCAAAAGGGTCAGCAGTTCTCCGTGGCCTCTGGGTAGAAGATGGTTGCACTGCTGAGGAAACTAACTCCTCCGGTTTCTCCTTTGGTTCCTCCTGCACTGCTGAGGAAACTGGCTCCTCCTCCGCTTTCTCCTTTGGTTGCCTCCTACAATAAAGTTTATCAGGCTTGGCAGTCCTCTTCATGTCAGCCTTGGGAGCTTCTCCAGAGGCAGGCCTCTTGTTTTGATTATCAGTGTTTTTCTGCAGGGGATCAACACCCGAATTCCCAGAGCCATCCAGTTTGGGTGTGGAATAAACAGCCGAAGCCCCAGCCTGGGAATTTTCTCTAGAGGCAGCCCCCGGACTCGAGGCAGCCCTCTCTTGTTGATTTTCATTCATGTCAGCCTTGGAATCTTCTCTAGAGGCAGCCCTCTCTTGTTGATTTTCACTGGGATCAACAACCGGACTCGAGGATCCACCAAAAATTTCTCCACCATCGAAACCCGCATCATCCAAACCCGCATCATCCCGATCCCTGTGAAGAAAACTACTGAGAACAAAATTGCTATATGAGAATTTTTCATCCACGAGCTCAACATCATCATCATCATCATATGAGATTTTTTCTTCCTCATCTCTTTTGTTAAGCTTGTGGTTGACAAGGTCTACGGCAGTTTCAATGCGGATTTTTTCCACCATATCCTGCAATTTTAATTCACAATTAATTCTATGGGATCTTGGATTAGGAACATAAATGTATAATTGTTGAATTACCTTGTTAATTTCACATATCTGCACTGCCTGTGTATCATCGAATTCTTTGATATACAGTAGAACATGAAAACCGCAATCATAGCTGAAAAAATTAGCCACTAAGGTGAGGAAGCAGCAGCAGCAGAAGAAGCAAAGAATATTTTGGTAAATGAGACATACTTGTTTCCTTGACGCTGCACGTCTAGTACTTCACAGATGTATTGAGATCCAGCAATTGATTCTTTTCCCAACTTCTGCAGTGTCTCTAGAATACCACAAATCACTGCCTCTCTGGACTTGCAAGGCAATGAATCGAGGATATAAATGGTGTCCTTCTTGCGTGAGATCACGATCAAGAACCAGTGTTCCTCATGAAGAACAGGTATAAATATCTGCAGGGGGAAATGTCCCATTGTAAAACTCAGAACATACCAAATTAGCTTGCTGACTCTATGGCTTTAACCAGACTTTGTGGACTTAACCATACCTTGTCAGTTCTGTGGACAATGATCTTGCACTAAAAATATACATAAAGGCTAGGGCAACCTCTAAAGTTGTTGCTGCTTTTGCTGAAAGGAGGGAGTTTGACAACATATATCTAGCACATCAGCCCTAAACTGAAAATGCTAAGTCCCTAGTCATGACAAATATATTTAGCATGTCCTATCTATGAGGGGTAAGAAGCCTACTTTCATAATCAAGCTATACTTGCAAACTTGTCACAAAAATAATCATGGCTGCACATAAAAGGATTGACATAGGCATGGTCAAGTTTGCTAACAGCTCACAAATAATATATATAAGCTAGAAAAGTAAAGGATTGATCATGAATACAAGGGTACAAACTACACTTCATTTATAGAAGAAAAATCCATAACCTACCAAATTAGCTTGCTGTCCAAGCTCATCAGCTAATGTACTTGTTCCATGCTCTGGGTCTAACAATTCATACATTGCCTTTTGAGACAATATAACTTTGTCCATGGCTTGACCCTTCCACTCTTGATTCCATAATGCACATTGTATGAACATTATGGAAGTGTTCATGTATCCTTGCTGCTTGAAACATTCTACATAATTACGTTCTGAAACTTCATGGTCCAATATATTAATTTTTATTTTGTCTTGAGTTCTGTCGAGAACATGCTCCTTGTATTGACGAAGAACATCCCTGAAGAGTTTAAGAGAGGTTAATAAGACTATCCAGTAAGAAAACCGCAGAGACCACCTCTTCTTTACCTGCCTACATCAGCACGAATGTTTATCTCATCATTGGACTCCTTATTCGATCTGATCGTCTTCTTCAAAGGACCCTGATCCTCCACTTTCCTCTTCTTAGTCTGAAAGGTGACATGGAATGTATAACATGTATGTACTGATCCAAAAAGTACATATATGGCAAGACTTATACTTACAGCGATCCCCTTCTTCAAAAGACCCTGATCCTTAGAGGTCGTCTTCTTCAAATGACCCTTAGAGATCTTCTTCCAAGGACCCTGATCCTGATCCTCATTCCCTCTCCTCTTCTTTACCTGAAAGACGATATGGAATGTGTAACATGTATGTACTGATCCAGAAAGTACATATATGGCAAGACTTATACTTACAGATTGCTTGTAATTTTCAATATATTCAATGTCGTTAGCTTGAACTTCTAGAATTTCCTGCTGGCCAAACACCGTGTCTTTCCAATCTTTAAGCTAAAAAAGGGCACGGAAGGGAATTTTATTGTTAGATGTCTATGAAATACGTGAATGCATATGCATAATTTGTACATACCTTGACACCTTTCTTAATTGCATCAATCATACTAATCACCTTTTCCTCCGTATAGTGATTCAACCGCGGGGTCTCTATGTCATTTTCTTCAGTTGTTGCAGTAAAGTTTATGTTTTCTAAGAAAAAAAGCTGTCACATACTGTTAGCCATACAACATTGCTGTTCTAAGAAAAGAAAAGAAAATATTTCAAAGATACTTACAACAAAGGACACCGGGCTGGAAACCTTCTGACCTGAATGGAAGGTTTTCAAACATTTGTTCATATGAGCAATTAACTTTTCACACCAATTAGTCTTCACTAGCTTATTTATCTCAGAGACAGCTGTCATGCTTTCGGCTGTAAAATATAATGAAGTGGTTGTAAAGATGGCAAAGTTGAATACAACCCCTATGAAAAGCTTCACTTGCAGCATGTGGTCATTATTGTCCCTAGCATTTTCAGATGCTTTTATAGCATCAGCTAAAACAAAATTATTGCTCTTCCCAGAAGCAGCAGAAAGAGCCTCCTTCACTGTAGTAGTTGATGCAGGAAGATTCTCAGGTACATCTTCCTGACCCATTGGAAGGCCAGTTAAAATATGCAAAGCTTCTTGTGATATCACCAGAGGATGCTTGGGGTCAAGATCAAGCACAACAACATCTTTATTCTGGACCTTTGCGGGCTTGCACAAAGAAGCCGTCCATATGGCAAACTGTTTATCAGGAAGCATTTCCATATTGATGCCAAGAAATGAACCAAATCCAAGACGGTCTATCGTCTTGGTTGCAGTATCTGAAAGTGTCTTTTTTAAATCTGCAAACTGGTTTAGTCGATACCGCGCTTGGTCACCTCCCTTCAATCAAACAAGCAATACTCGTGTCAACCCTTCTCATAAATTTCCATGACAATATTTTCTGAACAATATTTTCATAAACAATCATACTAATGATTGAACAGTAAACCCTTTAATCTGAACTATTTTCTGAACTACATATGCTTGTGATGGTACAATGATTTCCATGACAATAAAATGATTACAAGAGGCCATAATGTCAATGTTCTTTGCAGGGGAAATGTAAAACAAAATGATTTAATATCTACCATTATGAGAAGCAAGACCTCCATGGCTGAGATTGCTTCAAACTGAGAGCCTGAGGATTCACACCCCAGTTTCTTTCCCTCTGAAGAAATAATTGAATACTACATAAGCACAACAGGAGCCAAAATAACTACCGTGTCCAGCATTAGTGTTCTCAAACAGTACTGTGACAAACTTCCAAAGGACAAGTATGGTTACAACATTTCAATTTTGTTCTTTTACATGGCTACACAGATCACATACATTAAAAAAAATCTGCCATACAAAGTTTCTGTGGTGCCTTCTAATCCAATTTTCTGACTTTCTTGCTCATGTCAGGTACTACACCCCAAGACCCACGTTTCACTTCACTCATTATGGTGATGGTTATGAGTGTACAGTAACATTACCATCTAGTGCCATGTTTCAGCTTTTAGTAGGTCCAAGACTTAACCAGACTGTATGGCCTTAACCAGTACTGTCTAGGCTTAACCGGACCCGGTGCCTTAACCAGGACCGTGTGGACTTAACCAGGCCGAAATGTGAAGGCTTAACCGGCTTTTAAGCAGTCCGGTCAAAACAATCTTAACCGGCTTCAGTTGTCCTTCCAGCTTCACTGGCCTTAACCGGACTGCTTCAAATACGAGCGGCGCGCACACGGCGGCGCGCACGGGGACTGCTTCGGAAGAGGGAGCGGCGGCGGCAATGGAGGCGGCGGGGAGCACGAGGACTGCTTCGGAAGAGGGAGCGGCGGCGGCAATGGAGGCGGCGGGGAGCACGAGGACTGCTTCGGAAGAGGACTCTGGGGCTTCGGCGCGGGTGACTGCCCTCACGAACGATCCAGGTATGCCCCCAAGCAATCTGCCTGCCTGCATAACTAACGATGGCGGGGGTTTCGTCTGGATGGACTTGAGATTAGTCTTGTGTTCCAGTTCCACAACATTCAATTATGAGACGCACTGGTAAAATGCTTAGATAAAGGAGATAGATGAATAGAGGGAGTAGACTTCTTTTGAAGAATTACCTTTTGCTTGTTTCTGTTGGCTTCCAATTTAGAATTCAATTGCTTAATAAATAATCAAATTCGTCAATAAACTGAACACCTGCCCCCTGCTTAATTCTTTCAAAACATAAGCTGAACAAAACGTCATCAGACATTAGTTATCAACATAGATGAAAACTGAAAAATAATAGAGAAATTTTGCTTTTTTATTATTAGGGATAGATTAGAGCTAATTTTCAAATCCTGACTTTATGATTTTACAGATACTGATGAGCTCACTGTCAAGTGGTTACACGAAAACATGGAACCTCTAAGGGTATTCATCTCTGCAACCTGTTAATCACCATTTAATTTATGAGAAGGGTTGACACGAGTATTGCTTGTTTGATTGAAGGGAGGTGACCAAGCGCGGTATCGACTAAACCAGTTTGCAGATTTAAAAAAGACACTTTCAGATACTGCAACCAAGACGATAGACCGTCTTGGATTTGGTTCATTTCTTGGCATCAATATGGAAATGCTTCCTGATAAACAGTTTGCCATATGGACGGCTTCTTTGTGCAAGCCCGCAAAGGTCCAGAATAAAGATGTTGTTGTGCTTGATCTTGACCCCAAGCATCCTCTGGTGATATCACAAGAAGCTTTGCATATTTTAACTGGCCTTCCAATGGGTCAGGAAGATGTACCTGAGAATCTTCCTGCATCAACTACTACAGTGAAGGAGGCTCTTTCTGCTGCTTCTGGGAAGAGCAATAATTTTGTTTTAGCTGATGCTATAAAAGCATCTGAAAATGCTAGGGACAATAATGACCACATGCTGCAAGTGAAGCTTTTCATAGGGGTTGTATTCAACTTTGCCATCTTTACAACCACTTCATTATATTTTACAGCCGAAAGCATGACAGCTGTCTCTGAGATAAATAAGCTAGTGAAGACTAATTGGTGTGAAAAGTTAATTGCTCATATGAACAAATGTTTGAAAACCTTCCATTCAGGTCAGAAGGTTTCCAGCCCGGTGTCCTTTGTTGTAAGTATCTTTGAAATATTTTCTTTTCTTTTCTTAGAACAGCAATGTTGTATGGCTAACAGTATGTGACAGCTTTTTTTCTTAGAAAACATAAACTTTACTGCAACAACTGAAGAAAATGACATAGAGACCCCGCGGTTGAATCACTATACGGAGGAAAAGGTGATTAGTATGATTGATGCAATTAAGAAAGGTGTCAAGGTATGTACAAATTATGCATATGCATTCACGTATTTCATAGACATCTAACAATAAAATTCCCTTCCGTGCCCTTTTTTAGCTTAAAGATTGGAAAGACACGGTGTTTGGCCAGCAGGAAATTCTAGAAGTTCAAGCTAACGACATTGAATATATTGAAAATTACAAGCAATCTGTAAGTATAAGTCTTGCCATATATGTACTTTCTGGATCAGTACATACATGTTACACATTCCATATCGTCTTTCAGGTAAAGAAGAGGAGAGGGAATGAGGATCAGGATCAGGGTCCTTGGAAGAAGATCTCTAAGGGTCATTTGAAGAAGACGACCTCTAAGGATCAGGGTCTTTTGAAGAAGGGGATCGCTGTAAGTATAAGTCTTGCCATATATGTACTTTTTGGATCAGTACATACATGTTATACATTCCATGTCACCTTTCAGACTAAGAAGAGGAAAGTGGAGGATCAGGGTCCTTTGAAGAAGACGATCAGATCGAATAAGGAGTCCAATGATGAGATAAACATTCGTGCTGATGTAGGCAGGTAAAGAAGAGGTGGTCTCTGCGGTTTTCTTACTGGATAGTCTTATTAACCTCTCTTAAACTCTTCAGGGATGTTCTTCGTCAATACAAGGAGCATGTTCTCGACAGAACTCAAGACCAAAATAAAAATTAATATATTGGACCATGAAGTTTCAGAACGTAATTATGTAGAATGTTTCAAGCAGCAAGGATACATGAACACTTCCATAATGTTCATACAATGTGCATTATGGAATCAAGAGTGGAAGGGTCAAGCCATGGACAAAGTTATATTGTCTCAAAAGGCAATGTATGAATTGTTAGACCCAGAGCATGGAACAAGTACATTAGCTGATGAGCTTGGACAGCAAGCTAATTTGGTAGGTTATGGATTTTTCTTCTATAAATGAAGTGTAGTTTGTACCCTTGTATTCATGATCAATCCTTTACTTTTCTAGCTTATATATATTATTTGTGAGCTGTTAGCAAACTTGACCATGCCTATGTCAATCCTTTTATGTGCAGCCATGATTATTTTTGTGACAAGTTTGCAAGTATAGCTTGATTATGAAAGTAGGCTTCTTACCCCTCATAGATAGGACATGCTAAATATATTTGTCATGACTAGGGACTTAGCATTTTCAGTTTAGGGCTGATGTGCTAGATATATGTTGTCAAACTCCCTCCTTTCAGCAAAAGCAGCAACAACTTTAGAGGTTGCCCTAGCCTTTATGTATATTTTTAGTGCAAGATCATTGTCCACAGAACTGACAAGGTATGGTTAAGTCCACAAAGTCTGGTTAAAGCCATAGAGTCAGCAAGCTAATTTGGTATGTTCTGAGTTTTACAATGGGACATTTCCCCCTGCAGATATTTATACCTGTTCTTCATGAGAAACACTGGTTCTTGATCGTGATCTCACGCAAGAAGGACACCATTTATATCCTCGATTCATTGCCTTGCAAGTCCAGAGAGGCAGTGATTTGTGGTATTCTAGAGACACTGCAGAAGTTGGGAAAAGAATCAATTGCTGGATCTCAATACATCTGTGAAGTACTAGACGTGCAGCGTCAAGGAAACAAGTATGTCTCATTTACCAAAATATTCTTTGCTTCTTCTGCTGCTGCTGCTTCCTCACCTTAGTGGCTAATTTTTTCAGCTATGATTGCGGTTTTCATGTTCTACTGTATATCAAAGAATTCGATGATACACAGGCAGTGCAGATATGTGAAATTAACAAGGTAATTCAACAATTATACATTTATGTTCCTAATCCAAGATCCCATAGAATTAATTGTGAATTAAAATTGCAGGATATGGTGGAAAAAATCCGCATTGAAACTGCCGTAGACCTTGTCAACCACAAGCTTAACAAAAGAGATGAGGAAGAAAAAATCTCATATGATGATGATGATGATGTTGAGCTCGTGGATGAAAAATTCTCATATAGCAATTTTGTTCTCAGTAGTTTTCTTCACAGGGATCGGGATGATGCGGGTTTGGATGATGCGGGTTTCGATGGTGGAGAAATTTTTGGTGGATCCTCGAGTCCGGTTGTTGATCCCAGTGAAAATCAACAAGAGAGGGCTGCCTCTAGAGAAGATTCCAAGGCTGACATGAATGAAAATCAACAAGAGAGGGCTGCCTCGAGTCCGGGGGCTGCCTCTAGAGAAAATTCCCAGGCTGGGGCTTCGGCTGTTTATTCCACACCCAAACTGGATGGCTCTGGGAATTCGGGTGTTGATCCCCTGCAGAAAAACACTGATAATCAAAACAAGAGGCCTGCCTCTGGAGAAGCTCCCAAGGCTGACATGAAGAGGACTGCCAAGCCTGATAAACTTTATTGTAGGAGGCAACCAAAGGAGAAAGCGGAGGAGGAGCCAGTTTCCTCAGCAGTGCAGGAGGAACCAAAGGAGAAACCGGAGGAGTTAGTTTCCTCAGCAGTGCAACCATCTTCTACCCAGAGGCCACGGAGAACTGCTGACCCTTTTGGCCATTATAAACCAACCCGCCAGTTGCTTAAGGGCGAAATACTTGAACTGGTTCATCAGCTGGCCATTGGTTGGTATGTTTCTGGAAGCCTTATGATTATATTCTTTTAGAGTAGAACTTGCTATACTGATATGTGTTATGTTTTCAATTTGAAAAGTAAGGAGCAGGTTATATTGGAGTTTGAAGAGATCTCGATGACTGGTTCTCGATTAGAACAGTCCCTCCAAGGAGGTGCGGATGCCAGGGATCTTATTATATTATTAATGAAAGTCCTGGATAAATATCCGTACAACCAACGTAAAAGAATCTTTCTCTCACCAGTAGAGAAGGTAAAAGGTTTCCCCATGTTTTTTTTAACAATTGTACTACAATTGTACTTAAGAATGGTTAAGGCATTAGGTCCGGTTAAGCCTAGACAGTACTGGTTAAGGCCATACAGTCCTGGTTGAGGCACACTTGGTTAAATCAGTGAACCAGGTTAGTAATCAAGTCCAGGCCACACAGTTTGGTTAAGGTTATACAGTCCAGGTTAGTAATCAAGTCCAGGCCAGATCTGTGACACTTCATACAAATACTTCACTATCTACTGAAGAGATATGCACTGTTGGGGAGCAGGGGCATTAGGCTGCTGTGGTGCCACTATTGCAGTACATCCCAAACTTTCATGAACTCTCCCTGGCATATATCATCAATTTATCAATCAGATTCAATTGTTGGATAAATAAGAGGCGCCACAATTTCTGAAATAAAAATCCTTTAGGTGCCTCAAAGTTAGTAATCAAGTCTATACAGTTTGGTTAAGGTTATACAGTCCAGGTCCAGGTTAAGTCCATACAGTTGTGGTTGTCATTGTGTCTGGTTAAGGCCAGGCAGTCCTGGTTAAGGCAGTGTACCTGGTTCAGATAACTTATGTTCCCCCCTATGTGCAGGATGGCCAAGATTTGGAGAAAATGATTGTGGATGCACTCCCGGTTCTGAGATCAGGTAGCAGGACCACCACGTTAAAGGAAACAACTGTAAGTTGTGCATCAATACTGTTTTTTTTGGAATTGTTAATTCCCCAAAACCAAGTTACACAATTGTTTGTTTTTACAGATTTACTGCCCTGTTCTCTTCCAAGGAGAATGGATTGTTGCATGTTGTGTGTTTTCAAGCTCAAACCAGGTCCATGTTTTTTGCCACAAAGATACCTTGGCCAGCGTGAAACCATTTTGTATTGATCTGGGAGCCAAAGCAAACTCAGCTTTAAAAAGATGCGGATACAACCAAGTAAAATTTCCTGACCGCAAAGTGGCATATACTGGTACCAACATAAAGGTCAATGATAGTGCGTTTGCATCAATGTATTTCATCGAGAATTTCGGGACTTCTGGAGAAATACATTTCAACCGGTTTTTAGAGAAGAATGATGAGGTATGTTGAAAGAACTAACCTTATAATTTTGTTATGGAGTTCTGAAAGAACTAACATCATTTCTCTCTTTTTTTTATGACTTGCAGGTGAAGGATGAATTCATTAAAGATGTGAAGTTAGGGCTTTTGCCGTACTTATTGAACCACAAGAATAATACTGGAACTGTCCCTAATGAAATTTCTGAATTGATCAAGAAAAACAAAAGGACCTAAAAAAAGGTGATGAGGCAGCCTGAAGAAGAAGGATTGCTTGGCTGGCTGCTGGGTTGTTTGTGAACTGCTATGTCGGTTTGGAAAACTGATTGTTTGGCTAGCATGTTGCTGTGGTGAACCTGTTTGTGACCTTTTTTTTTAATGGTTTCCTGCTCTCTCTCTCTCTCATTTTGCTGTTTTGGTCGTACTGGTTTTCGTAGCAATTGTTGATCTCAAATCAAGAATCAGTGATTTGGAGACTCAACGGAAGCTGCTGAACCCTTCCCCAGAACCCCACTCAAGTGGGAGCCGCCTGGCATTGGGTCTGCCCGGTTGCAAGCATGGTGGACGGGAAATGATGAAAGTACCTCAGCGGCTGAAATTTAGTGTTTGTTATTTAGAGTTGGTTTAGGATCGTGGACTGGAAGTACTCTTTGAACTGAACTATTTGTTGGGGTTTGTCACTGAACTGTTGGGTCTCCTACTGTCATGTATTCTATACTCTTTTTTTTCCTTTACAAATTCAGCCATGCTGTTGGGTCTGGTTAAGGGAGTTGATCTGGTTAAGGCACTGAATCTGGTTAACGGACTGGGTCTGGTTAAGGGAGTGCCCCTGGTTAAGGCAGTTGATCTGGTTAAGGCACTGGTTAAGGCCACACAGATCTAATGACTTAACCGGACCCAGTGCCTTGACCAGGCCTGTATGCCCTCAACCGGATTCACTGCCTTGCATATGTACATGTACTAAGTTAACGGACTGCCCCTGGTTAAGGCAGTTGATCTGGTTAAGGCACTTGATCTGGTTAAGGGAGTTGGGCCTGGTTAAGGGAGTTGGGTCTGGTTAAGGGAGTTGATCTGGTTAAGGCACTGAATCTGGTTAACGGACTGGGTCTGGTTAAGGGAGTGCCCAGGCACAGGCCAACCATGCCTGTCATGATGGGCATAGTAGGGTAAAATCGTCAGGAGTCGGCACGGCATGACAACGATACGGTACGACTAGAGAATCTGTGATCTTAGGGTATTCAACACGGCTCCATCATGATGTGCTCCATTGGCCCGACGTGCTCCATTTCACCCTCACCTGCTCCATTTCACCGGGAGATGCTCCGTTTACCAGCCTGGCCCCGATAGGTTTACTAGCGTGGCCCGTAGCTTTACCAGCGTGGCCCAGCCCCGGGACTTTAGTTTTTATAAGAACCTGGCACCGAACCAACTTATCTGCAACCCTGACACCAGCAAGCACGGGCAAATTGCTCGTCAAAACCAAAGGGCGTTAGCCATTCCACAGTTCACCACACAGTTCAAGTTCAAGTTCACCACACAGTTCAGCAGCAACACATAATTACACAATACAAGTCTTTAAAAAGATAAAATAAAAGTTCCAGCAACATCACAGATTCCAGCTCCCAGCAGCAGTCCCGTGCAAATGAAAAGAACAGAGAAGCTATATAGACTTTGGTCTCTGGAAGACATCCATTCATCTTCGCGGCTTCCACAGATCAAGTGATCATGACTTCATCTTTGGTACACGCATCGATTTGGACTTTTTCGATGGTACACACATCGATTTGGACTTTGAAGCTCTATGGTCCTTTGGCTGTTTGTCCAAACTAAACTCCATTTTGTACTTTTTGTGCTCTACACATTCATTTCCTCCACTCTCAGGTACAAATTTATTCTTAGTTGCACTGTTAATTAGTAACATGATGTATGGGGCATATGGCATTCTCTTTGTACAGTGCCTGTGATTGTTTCCCATCTCCTCGAACATCATGTCTACAATGTCAAAAGGCTTCTTGAACAAAATATGATACTCTAGGGCCCTAATTAATGCGTGCATCGAGCCTTTATCTCCAATCACAGGATGGATAGTCTTTCTAATAATCCGGTTTAATGAATTCACTTGATTGCCATCTGCACTCTTCAACTCTTCTTCTTGTGCATCAGTCAAATGCTTAATCTTAGTAACGTGCTCAGACGGAACAAGTAGAACCTTCTGACAAAATCTCTTAGTGACAGTAATCTTCTTATTTCTGCCTGTCATCCATGTCAGCGAGGTCCTACTTTCATTTATGGACAATGTGGAGTAGAACTGTTTGATCAGCTCTTCATGCCAGTTCTGTTTTATAGCCATCAATTCATGAAGACCAACGTCACGACATGCTTCCTCAACATATGGCATCGCCGGTAAATCTCTGATATTTTTCCAATCAATCCATTTGTTATCAGCACATTGCTTCTTGCTAAAAATATTGTTGTATAAAACCATATGCTCAATGGACCAAAAACGCTCATCACTTGCAGATCTGTCCTGTTCATATAAACATTTAACCAATTTCGAAGACTTCTTCCTTTTTGATTTTTCGTACCTCACAGGCGTCATGGCTACAGCCTCAGCATGTTGGGGCAAACCATCCAGAAAGTCAATATTAGGAGAGTCTTCTTCCTCTAGTGCAGTGAGTGGAAGAGCACCTGGAGCAAACTGACTGAGACGGGCCCTCTTCCTTGAAGGACTGGGCGAGAGCTGAGCAAGATGCACTTGCTCTGTATGTGCAGACTCTACAACCTCTTCATCTGTGAGTTGTTCACCTGAAGCAAACTGACCGGCAGGCAGGTCCTCCTGCAAAGAATGGATCCTCTTCTTTGAAAGATTGGGCGAGAGCTGATCAAAACGCGCCTGACATGTCTTCTCTGCAGCCCCTTCTGCCTGCACAGGCACCTGCTCTGCATATCATGTTACTTTCATCCCGTGCAGATTCCGTTTCCCCTTTGGGTCGCCGGCGGAATCGTCTCCAGATTCGTGGCTCGATCCGGGCGCCCTTGAGCCACCGCCGCCTGAACCGCCGGCACGGCTCCGGCCCGCGGTCGCGCCACTACTTCCCCCGCCGACGGCGCTACCACTGGCGCCACCTCGGCTGGACCGGCTCCTGTCGGCGCCGATGGCTGACATCACGGCCAGGATGCTCTCCCGGTCGCGGTCGCAGCAGAGGGAAAGAATCCCATCGGGAATTAGTGTTGGCTCGACGGAGTCTAGGCCCAGCACCGGCCGAATCACCCTCTTCACGTCCTCCTCACCCCAGTCCCAGCGCTCGCCCACATGCGTCCGCATAGGGTCGTTGGGACCAGTGTATTTCCAAGCTCCACGGGATCGTTCCTAGAGAGGCGCGATGCGGCAGCGGAAGTAATCGCCGAAGAACATTGCCCCCGGGTGGGCCAAATTCCGGAGGCCCTGAGGCGATCCACACCGCGTCATACTCCTCGCCAACTCCGACGTCGCCAGCATGCGGCAGACCTTTCGGGAGGGCCAGCGGGAACTTGAAGTCCCGGATGGTCCTGGCAACACGGTGTAGAACCAGTCCTTCTTCCAGTCCTCCCATTTCTTGCGGAGGTGGCTCTCAATGTACTGGCCCGCTGTGCTCGGGCTAGGCTGGAAGTAGCATCCCCCCACCACTGCGCCTTGCAGCAGCTGCGGGATGAAGAAGGCCTGGAACAACCGCATCGTCGGTCGCACCCCAATGAACATCTCGCACAAATGCGCGAAGATGGCTAGCGTCATCACGGCATTAGGTGCGAGATGCAAGGCATGAATCTCGTAGAAATCCAGAACTTCATGGAAGAATCTGGAGAACGGCGGGATCAAGCCCGCCATGGCGAAGGACAAGAGGTGCACAGACCGCCCCGGGTATCGCGGCCGCGGCCGCGACTCTCCCGCCCGCACGACGGCACCTTCCGGCATGATCTTGCGAGGGAGGCTAAGGTGCCTGTCTGCCGTGATGCGGGAGGAAGGGAGCACTGCGTCGCCGGCGTCTTGGGCCATGGCAACCGGCGGAGAGATGGTGGAGAGCGAGGAGCACGAGACAGTATGAGTTGGCGAGAATATTAGGATTCGAGAAGCGAAAGGACGAGTGGGCGGTTGGCAAAAGGAAGAAGGCATAGACTCCTCCTCTGCCCCCTTTTATCCTCGCCTCACCCGCGCTCGCCTCCTCTTTTCGCACCCCCATAACTGCCCTCACGATCTTCGCGCCCGCATTTGTCTCTTTGCATCTCGCGCCCAATCGTCACGTTGCCCGTTGTATCCGCTTCCGCCTTTAGTGTGCCTGTCAGAGGCACACTCGAGGTGGAGTGCGGAACGGCCATAAGCGCAAGTTGGGCAAACCGTCACCGCTACCGCCACAGGAGTAGCAGGCGAGAGAATCGAGGCGTGGTCTAAGTGACCCCCCGATTATCGCGCCTCAAGCATCTTCTTCATGAGCGCAGTCAGAGGTGGTCAAACCGCTGTCATGATTGGTGCGCCAACCTGGCCACGCGATGGTATCCTTTTGGATTCCCAGTCGGGCCCACAACCCTCGCTTGAGGAGACGTGAGGCGCCATGTCAGAACGATCCCAGGAAATCGATATCTGATATAGCGCCGGGGGCTACTGTCGGAGATATGGGCCCGGGGGTATGTGGAGTAGAGGGGAATTACTTTCCCTCCGGCTACGTGACTCCGCAGGTTGGCCCCACTCGCGCGCCACGCGAGTCGTAGAAGCGCCGGGGGGGGCCTCGGGGTATGACGTCACCCCCTCGGGCTCTCCCACGGCTTCGCCCCGAGGCCCTCACCCGGCCGCCGCGCGGCAGAGGGAGAGAGCAAGAGGGGAGCGCAGGCTGAACAGCCATAAATGTGCGACGCCCCAACTGTCCCTCACCGCATTTAATGCGGTCAGGGCAGACGTGCGGCGCGCCTAGCTAACCCCTGTCCATCAGATGTGACCGGTCTGTGACCGGCCCGTCTCCGTCACATCCGATGGATAAGGCAATCATGTCCTCACATCGCCCATGTCCTCGGCGGAGTGGGGGTGGGTATGACCCGTCACATCCGGGCGCCACTCGAGGAAGGGCTGTTGCATGTCATCGTTCATTTATGAGGGAATGACAGGGCAGTCCCCCGTGTCAGGCAGGGGACAGCGCCGGGTTCCGCGCAAGAATCGGTTATTGCTTAGCTTCCGGGAGAAGGCACAGTTTGAAGCAAAAAAAAGGTGGTGTGGGGTTTCCCCCTCCCCATGGAGGGTAGGTAGAGGCGGCACATGTGGTATCCCCTTAAGCTATAAAAGGAGGACCCTGCCCACTGAGAAAGGGGACGAGGCCCAGAAAGCCTGAACCCCAGAAGAGAGGAAGCAATTGCGCCCTCTGGAGTAAAGAAATCCTTGTAAAACTCATCCATAATCCCAAACACAGGAGTAGGGTGTTACGCTCTATAGCGGCCCGAACCTGTATAATCCGACCACGTGCATCCACTCCTGGTAGTCCTAGGGACGAGCAAGCAACAATCGAGAGACGAGCCTCCGCCCCCGGCCGAACTCACGAAAGGGGGGTCTCACGATTCCCCGCTATTGAGGGACTTCCCTCGACAGCCGGGATGTTACATCCTTAGCACTACAGAGAGATGAAAAAAGAAAAGAGGAAGCTGTTGGCTGTCCTGTCAGTACGAGTGAGCGATGGGCTGTCAATATGCTCAGCTCATGTGTGAATTACTCCCTCCATCCCAAAAT